GCGATCGAACATTTAAATATTGACGCCCTGCATTTTGCTTTCACATCAATTGGTATTCAATTATATCGTTCGTGCACGCACATTACGTTTAAGTCCCATATTAATGGTTCATATTAATCGTCATACTTAAAATTGTCTCACTCTGGTTTGAATTTAGAGTTAGATTTTTTATTCAAATATTTTTTTATTTAAATATATATTTTTATATAATATGTGCGACATTTGTAATCGCAATTTAACTAGAAAATTTATGTTTAACTTTAAATTCAAATTTGAATATTTCACGTCAGGCACATTTTAAGTGCCGACTATTAATACAAGCCTAATTAACATACGTTCGTGTGTTCGTGTGTCGGCACTTAAAATTTGCCTGACGTAAAATAGTCAAATTTGAATTTAAAATTAGACAGAAATTTTTTAATTAAATCGCGATTACAAATTATATATACACATATTATATAAAAATATATATTTGCACGTAAACCTATCGATAAATATAAAAAAAAAACGCACGGTTATCTCTAAATATGCGCAGGTCATTTTACGATATATTTATCCGTCGCAGATACTGGCAGTCAGTAGTCTTTATGATGGCAACCTCATCACTTAGAATTGCTGCTATTCTCGTGGTCAGTGATATTCTCTTCGTCACGCACGGTTTGAGAACCAACAATGGGCGAAGCTTTCCTAAAAACTTTTTATTAGGCGTAGCTTCGTCTGCTTATCAAATAGAAGGTGGTTGGAACCAAGATGGTATGTAAACTGTGTAATAATAATAATAATAATAATAAGTAAATTATACGGAAAAAATATTAGATTCGATATTGAATAGTTGGCACAACCAGATTTATATATGTGAGGGCTATACTGTTGTTTTTTCTTGAATGTTTTGAAAATAGACTGTCGAAACTTTTAGGAGTACATATTTTACTTATTTTAAAAAAGAGAAAAATAAACATATGTAGGTTTCGAAACTCTTTCTTCCCGAGATTTAAACATTTTTTTATTTACGTTGGAATTTAATTAAAATATATGTGAAGTGCAAAATTACAAGTGAAAGTACCAATATCTAGGTACATTTTTAACCTTAGACACATTCGTCGTTTTAATCTTTAAGCAAAAATAATTACAATTTCAATATATCAAAATATTTTATTCTTTTATTTGTGGTTTTTTTCACGCTTTTATTATATAATAACCACGTAGATGTTTAGTTAATAATTTAAAAAAATTAGTACATTAACTGTATACCAAACTTTAATTGATAACTAAATATGTACATGATCATTTGGAAAATAATAGAAAACATTTTGTTTAGTTTGATCTAATAGACAAGCACACAGCGGCAAACGTTGCTATCACAACTCATCTATCGTATGTGTAGCGCGTAATTATTCACGAATTTTTATTTTTTGATTAATAACTTAAAATTTTACGTGGTTGTTCGTAAAATGATAGAAGAATGATTTTATTAATTATTTAGAATAAACAATAAATGAAGTAATTATTTTATACAAATAGTATAATTTTATAAAATGAAATATATATTATATAATTAATTATTATATATATTATCTAATTAATTAAATATTTTACATGTACATATTTATTTAAACATAATAAATGTAATATAAAATCCTTGCAATATTTGAGCTTATCATGATTGATCATGTTTCCATTCAAAATTATTTGAACCATTTGGTTATCCTATATCATATATATATATATATATATATATATATATATATATATATATATATATATATATAGAGTGTCCGTTAACTTACAGAGGAGCCGTGGTGTATAGATAGATTAGGTTTGGACAAAAAATTCTTCAATTTTGGGAATAACCTTGTAACCTTGTTTTTTCATTGAATTCTACTCTTTTATTAAAATCATCTTCATTCAATTTTTAATGAATAAATTATTAAAATAAATTATTTAGAATATATGGGATTTCAATGGAGAAACACTTCTTTTTACTATCGTTTTGAACAAACGTTTAATAAATACAAGGATTACAGAGAATAATATATTACTCGTTCGCAGATCTTACTGCTCCGCTCTCCGACCGTACTCGTCGCGATCCTAATAACGAAGAACGTCCCGACCTTTTCGCTCGCTGTTTAGGTCGTCTCACGTATAAACAATCGCTCAGTCCCGTAACAAGCGGGTTTAATATTTGAATTAGAACGAAATCACGAGTGTAGCCCCTTCCCGATCCCACAAATAAATTATTTAGAATTATTTTTATTAAATATATATACAGGGTGTCTCAGAACAATCTACGAAGCTCTCGTGAGAACGTAAAGCGGGTCGAGATGAACATAAAAGTCCTATACTGTTTTGCGATATTCGTAATAATAACCGAGAAATTAATTGCGAAATATTAAAGAAAAACATGCGCTGATGAATTGTCGGAGGAGGAGCGCTCAAACCGCAGCGTTAAAATACGTACATGCCTTGTAACTTTGTGTGAATGTGTATACGTGGGCGTGCAGTTAGGAAGAGGGAAGAAGAAAGAGAGAAGAAAGAAATAAGAGCGCGATAACAGTTTGTTTTTTTATTCATAATATTCACCATTTCTTTTTATGTAAAAATAAATTCTGTTACCACATAATACATAATTTTAAAGTCAAAATATCAAATATCTTCGAATTTATGTTTACATTTTTGAGAATGCGAATACTTATTATATCTACCTACCTATTTAACAATCTACCTATACTTAGTTTTTATTTATTTTTCTTCGAAACTATTTGAGCTTTACTAATTTCTCTTTGAAATACTTTTTGAAAGAGTTATCAAATAAATATGATGTATACTAGAAATGGAAAAACAAAAAGCATTTTTTTACTTATTTTGCGGGTTTGGACCGCATCTATTGGATAATACTGCGAAAGCATGAAGTACTAGAAATTATTTTTATTTCTGGAACTGAAGATCAATGTGTTCGTAGAACAGTAAGAATCTTTAATAAATATTCTGATAAGAATATATCACATATATATGTGACACATTTTTCATCATATTATCTTCATCATTATCTTCAATGATAAATATTCTCAATGATAAATGTCTTGATAAACATGTATTACATACCTATATAGATGATAAATTTATAAGAAAATTTTTATAACTAGATCTATTCACTATATTATACTTACAAATAATAGAGTTTTAGACGAACCTATTCAAGTCGAAATTTTGAGGAATTTCGAAGTAAATCCTAATTACTCAATTCGTGAAGTTCTAGAAAACGATCTAGAATTTCATCGGTTCAGTGCACAAAATTTTTAAGAAAAACAAATTTCACCCTTACGAAATGCAAATCCACTAAAAATTGAATGAAGATGATTTTAATAAAAGAGTAGAATTCAATGAAAAAACAAGGTTACAAGGTTATTTCCAAAATTGAAGAATTTTTTGTTCAGACCTAATCTATTTGTACATCGCGGCTCCTCTGTAAGTTAACGGACACTCTATATATATATATATATATATATATATATATATATATATATATATATATATATGATATAGGATAACTAATGGTTAACTAAATGGTTCAAATAATTTCGAATGGAGACGTGATCAGTCATGATGAACTCAAATATAGCAAGAATTTTATATTACATTTATTATGTTTTTATTACATGTATATGTACATGTAAAATATTTAATTAATTAGATAATATATATAATAATTAATTGTATAATATATATTTCATTTTATAAAATTATACTATTTGTATAAAATAATTACTTCATTTGTTTGTATAATGGAGCAAGTATTTGTATCCTCACTGAAGTGTTTCCGGATTTATGTTCATATCATTTTTTTATGTTTACAGCAAGTAAAACATTATTTTAAAATTTAGTAACCTATTTCCGAAACTTCCGAATAATTAGTCGAACATATAGACCCACTAGTAATTGTCATCGTGTACGGACGAGATACGTAGAACAAAAACCAGTTTATTTCGTGATTAACTTTGCTGTTACGATGTGTTTAAATTTATAAAGGTAAAGGAGTGAATGTTTGGGACCAATGGGTACACGATCATCCAGATGCCATATACGATCATAGCAATGGCGATGTGGCTTGTGATTCCTACAACAAATATAAAGAAGACGTGCAACTTTTGAAGGAAATTGGGGTACGTCCTATATAAATATATCTCGAAACCGAGAGAGAGAGAGAGAGAGAGAGAGAGAGAGAGAGAGAGAGAGAGAGAGAAAGAGAGAGAATACAGTCATAACAACATATAACATTACGAAATATCGAAATATTCTAATATTTCAGGTTGACTTTTACCGATTTTCTCTCAGCTGGTCGCGGATCTTACCAAATGGTTACTCCAATGTGATCAATTACGATGGACTTAATTATTATAAGAATCTTATTGACGAATTACTTGCAAATGGCATTAAACCATTTGTCACTATATATCACTGGGATCACCCAAATATTTTCGAAAGTATGGGTGGGTGGACCAATGAATTAATGGTCGACTGGATAGCCGATTATGCGAGAGTCGTTTTCAAAGAACTTGGTCCAAAAGTTAAATATTTTATGACTATCAATGAACCTACAATTCTTTGCAATGAGGCGTACGTTACAGGCGAATGGGCGGCAGGTATTTACCATTTCTATTTTTCTATTTTTTCTATGAGAAACACATCATATTTTCAATAAAAATCAGCGCACATCTCTTTCTCGAAGAAGAAACTGGAAAAAGAGGAATAACATACTTTTAGGAAAGAAATTAGGCTCTACAGGAAAATTTTTATGTTTACACAACATACTAAAGGCACACGCCAAAATTTACCATATCTATGATGAAGAATTCCGTAAAGAACAGAATGGTCAAATAGGCATAGTTACATGTTGCGGGGGTTTATTCGCCAAAACCCCCAACGATACTGCAGCAGTGGACACCGCTTTCCAATTTGATTGCGGTGTCATAACTAGTCCTATTTATTCGAAGACTGGCGATTATCCAGAGGTAGTAAAACATCATATAGCCGAGAACAGTAAACTGGAAGGATTTTCGAAATCAATTTTGCCAAAGTTTTCGCCAGAATGGATACATTATATCAAGTAAGAAAGCTTTATCGTGAATATGTTAATATCGGTGAACGGCATAAATACACGTACTCTTTAAAGTGCAGTATATTCTTCAATGTAATGCTATATTTGTAACTAGTAATTCAGTTACAACTAAATTCACACACACACACATATACTTATTTCACTCAGTGAATGATTCATTCAGTTTAGTTATAAATACACTGCAATCAGTAAAATCTCGCTAAAAATACCAGTTAATAGTAACGATTATCCCATCATTGCACATTGCGAACACAGATAACGTCATTGCGCGCAAGACATATGGAAAGCTGTTAATTCCATCATTACGAATGCAAAAGGTTATAACGTATAACGAATTTGTGTGTTATAAATTTGTGTATTATAAATTTTGTAATGAAATCTTACTTCCACTCATCAAAATCAATGAGATATAAAATAGAGTAGTAAAATAGGAATGATTTCATTGAAATCATTCCTATCAATGATCAATGAATATCCATTAATCTTCGGTGAAAAATTCTATATATTAATTCAATTAAAAACATTTTTACCGATTCACTTTAAAGGATAAAGGATCATACGCGATCATGATGCTTCCAAACATTTGCACATTATAAAGATCGAGCATTTTTGCTTCAGCTAAATTCCATTAATAGAGCAACTGAGGACTTAATTAGATTGAAGTCTATCAAATATAACAAATTTAACAAATATAACAAATATAACAAATTTCCTTTAATGGTTAACAAAATAATTAATTAATGCAGATACCAAGCTATATTTTCTATCAATTATGATATAAAATCATCTTTGCAAATCTGCCGTGTATGCTATAACATCAAATTTTATTAGATACAACCACAAATCTTATGTAACTCTACGATTTAGTTAATATAGCAAACTGGGTGTCCGTATATTACGATTATAGATTTTCTAGGCTAACGAAATTTTCAGTTATGACAACAAGTCATTTTTGTTCGTATATTATTCCTCGAATTTTCATCCTCTGTTTGCTTTTAAGGGGTACATCGGACTTTCTCGGACTGAATCATTATACCTCGAGATTAGTGGAAACAGTGCCACATGTGAATGGGCAGGCATGGTACGAATACAGCGGCATAAACATGACTATAGATCCATCATGGCCATTAGGTGGTTCGAAATGGTTACGAGTTAGTATGAACATGAAAGATATATATTAATTGCGTGTATCATAAACTAACAGATATCAATTTTCACCAAGCGCAAAGCTTATGTTTGCATTCCGTATGGAATGCATTAATTTAACCCCGATAACACATCGGGCGCAATTAAGTCGTACAGATGGCTTAACTTATTGTTATGAATAATTCATTCCGTGAATAATTCATAGATCGCGCTCAACCCCATAAATTGGGAATCAGAGTAGAGTGTAGTTTAGAAAATATGCTTTTCTGCACGTTTACCTGTAGCGAGCATATTATACTCATGAAATTACGATTGATTATGGAAACACGATTAATTGACTATATTGAGAAGTGCGCATTACACACTGAAGGGTATCCCACTATTTTGAGTTAGACTACATATATCTATATCGAATTTCTTGAATATTGTGAAACTGTATGAACTGAAACGATCTTCTCGATCCAGTTATCTCGAGTTATTAATATCGCAATATGTATCTGTGTGCAATGTATTGCGAATATTTTAGGTCGTACCTGACGGACTTCAGCAAATTATTACCAAACTCACAAAAGAGTACGGTCGTGTGCCCATTTACGTCTCTGAGAACGGTTACTCTAACATATACGATGATATTAATGATGATAATAGAATATCATACTTATATTCCTACATGGATAAAATGTTGTCCGCCATTTACGATGATGGATGTAATGTGAAAGGATATACTGTCTGGAGTCTAATGGATAATTTCGAGTGGGCTAGAGGTTACTCGTAAGTCACCGTTACTTATTACATCCATTCGATTTCTCTTAAAATAAATGGCGTTACTTTTTAACTTTTAACTTTTTTAACAACAAGTGCCATATCGTTTGCACAATTAAAGTCAATAAAGGTAAAAGAAAAAAGGACAATACGAGGTTTTCATTTGCGATTTTCATTTCCTATTTGACTCTTTGAGACTCATGTAAATGATAATTTGTATATAATTATTTCATTGCGTTTGCGTTACTTTGTTTTCAATATAATAATTACGTCCGATGATGATCACAAAAATGGCCGAAATGTTTCGTTTTTTTTTAAATTAAATTTTGTTAAACAAATAAACGATTGCGCACAACAACTGCAAATTTAACCTTATATTATTCTTTTTCCTTTTATCTTTATTGATTTTAATCTAAGAGCTCTCGTTTACTTTCTGGAGTTTGCGCGATTAATTAAAGATTCAATTATAATGACTTGTTCGAATAATCTGTATAATTACGCACCAACAGAGAAAGATTCGGAATAGTACATGTTAATTTTACGGATCCTAACCGAACGAGAACTCCGAAGTCATCGATGAAGTGGTACAAGAATGTTATTCAGACTCGGAAACTTCATAATACCTCGACTTTAACTGATTTTGAGCCGGTTGTAATAAGCGTGTGAGTAAAACATACATAAAAATATTTAGAATGTTACGAAATAATATATAGTATATAAGAAACAAAATAATATTAACATTAATATGTATTAATATGTAACATGTGAGAAACGAGAAATGAGTTGCATATTCACCATACATGCACTATCTTTTCAAAATGTTCTTCAATTAATTATTTATGCGTAGCGATATATATTAAATTGTGTTTTTCTGATTGAAACCGATAAACAACTAAAAATATTAAGAAGTATAACTATGATTGTTATCATTAGTATATTACTACTCTTATCATTATTATTATTATTCTTTTATAGTTTGATAATACGAAAATACGTTATCTTATGTATAAGTGAATAAAGATATCGTTTTAACATTTCTTCTCTCGCTTTCTGTTCGCTCTTCTTCTTCCCCTTTTGTGTGAGATATGCACATGTTGTATTGCACTATATTGCATACTAATACCACGCTGAAAAAAAATTTCGGTTCGTGTAACTGGATGGGGATCAGATGAAAGGCTCCCTGACGAGAAATAATATCTCTGTTACTGTGACCGAAAACATTTGGTTGAATATTCAGTTGCGTTAAAACTTGGTTGAAGTAACTGAACAATTGAAATCTTTCTGTTTCTATAACCAAGTTTTTCGTCTGCTCTCCAGATAACAGAAAATTCAGCTTCATTAATGGAGTTGTTCCCGTGAAAGATATACAATCACAATAAGATAATGAATCTAACATAAAAGGATACGCTCTCTAGAGTTTGATGGACAGTTTCGAATGGACATTTATAATTAGAGATACTCGCGCACGTTAGAAGAAGTACTTGAATTAGAAGGAGAGGAAAATAAGAGTTTTTATAGATAAGTGCGGTGCGTGCGTGCGTATGTGTTGCATATGTGTGCCCGTTGGTGTATAATCGTGTGCTTCTCAGTGTATAATCAAATATTTGCATCTAACCTCGTACGTAACGAATGACGCTCATTGTCGAAAGTATCAGTAAGTCTGTTACATATCGAGTGAATGAAAAAAAGTTAATAGGTTCTTTAAACATAAAATCAAAATACAGGAGAAAAGGCCTGAAAGCCAATAGACGGAATAGTGTTAGAATAGTGTTAATTAGAGTGAAACTAATTAATAGAGTTAGTATTTGTCTCCTAGATGTAATGAAGAAATATTTGTTATGTCCAATTAGAACAAATATATAGTTTCAGTTCTTCAATAGACTCTCCTCAGTGTCTAATCACAGACTGGATACTTCAATATTTCCTGACTATACTAGAGAACAAATACTAACTCTATTAATTAGTTTCATTACACTACTCTGTATTGGCTCTCATAAGCTCTTTTCCCGTATTTTGCTCTTTTTCCCGTATTAAGCTCTTTTTTCGTATTTTGAAAAATATGCTTGTTTAAAAAACGTTTTAAATTTACGAGATGTTGATTGTTTCTCGAGTGAATCGCTAATCGAATAATGTGCATTTCTGGTTTTTGAATATTCGTATGTAGCGGAGACTATTCGCAAACATTATTGTCTATTTTTGTATAGTTTTTTTAATATTTATGGAAGCAAACTAGCTTCACGGATTGAGGAAGCAGGAACAACACGTTCTCAGCAAATAAGATGCTAGCAGTATACCAGCAATATATCTATAACAGATCTAATCACGATTTTGCAGCAGATTTTAAACTACTGTGTCCTCAATAAACTCTTATTCTAGCGATAGGACTTCCTCGCATGATTTGACGGTAAATTGGCGACAGAAACTGAGCAGATCCTACTGGAAAGCAGCTGTCTGGAAGCAGAGTTTACTCGAGTTTTATTGTAATAATCTGCTGTCAAATTATTACAGATTCTACTCGGTTTCTACCGTCAGTCTGGTGTAAAATATCAGCAGGTTTTGTTAAATTTTTAGCTGCAATTGGTAACATTGCTAGATAGAATAGATTCTATCTATTCTATGTGAAATTTGTTGTCTTTCTATCATCAATAATTTATAGTAGCATTTACTTAGAATACTCTTAGGCATATTTAACTATCTGAATTAAGGACTAGCAGCTATAATTTTGTTTAAAAAATACTAATTCGAATATAATAGTGGTTTTAAAATTTGTATTTTTGAAAGATTTCAGCTATTTGTAATTTTCTTCAAGAAAGAGGTATCTCCTTGAAGATTATTAATTTTTTTTTAATCGTAGCAATTTTGACATATAAAAACTGACGTATATTTGACGAAATAGAGAAGATTCTTACCATTTTATGGCTTGTTATGTGCACACAATGAACTTAAAATAAATTTTCGATTTTTCTGTGTGAAAATCTGAAGTTTTTTTTACAACAATCTTTTATAGATATTGATTTTGAGTTTTTTTCTTCTATTACTTTATTTAACTTACTCAATTGAGAGAGGAGAAGAGAAGCATAGAGAAAAAGAAAGAGAAAAGTAAAAAAATAGTTAATATAAATAGAAAAACGTAAATTTTTATAAAAATATTTCATTATAATTATATGTTATTTACGTATTATACAATCGTGGATAAAAAGGATAAAAAGGTATGAAGAACCTGCTCAATCTTTCTGTTCACGACTGAACATGTTGAGAGCGATAAGGATAGAATGACGCAGTAGCATTGATATAGAATTCTAAGAACATATACGTTATGTCGTTACTTGGAAACACGAATAAACTAACGGCTTTGAACTACATTTAACTACGTTGGTTATTTAAGAGTTAAATATACTTAAGGCCCTACCACCCTAAAGGCTCTAAAATCATGTCTAACTTTGATGATTTTTTGTGAGTAAATAAATTGTTTTATCAAAAATCTGTTGAAAAAGAATTTTATTATATATATGTTAAAATATACCAAACAATTTTTCTTTTTTTTTATGTACAAAATGGCGGCATACGCATGACTTCATTGCGAACTATTTTTCATTCTCCGTGCAAAACAATGTGCAAGATTCCGGAAAAATGACTGACACTAGAACACAATTAAAAAAAGTATTATCATCTACATACCAAAGACTCTTGAAGTACGTAGGAGTTTTGCAGAATATTGATTTTTTTTTAATGATGGACATTTCTACAAAATTTATCATTTTGATTGAGAAAATTTCGTACAAAAATATTAATTGCAAAAAGGTTTCCAATATTTTACAAAACCTCTACGTGCTTCAAGAGTCTTTGGCATTTAGATGATAATACTTTTTTAAATTTTGCTTTAGGGGATCAGCCATTTTTCCAGAATCTTGTATACCGTTTTGCACGGAGAATGAAAAATAGTTTCAGTGGAGTCCGTACGCCGCCATTTTGTACATAGAAAGAAAAAAGAAAAATTATATGGTATACTTTAACATATAATAAAGTTCTTTCAACAGATTTTTAATAAAACAATTTATTTACTCACAAAAAATCATTAAAGTTAGGCATGATTTTAAGTCTTTTAGAGTGGCATAAAGCCTTAATATAGTTGATTTGTATGAACGGTATATACAATATCTAACATATGGTGTAGCATTCGATAGTATTTCCAGCGAGATATTTTGATAGACCGTTTTCAACACATCAGGGTCAGTACATTAAGCATGTCGTGCAACGAAGCTATTATTGTTGCTTTCGATATTCGGTTATTTTATTCAGTTACCCGAACTGAAATTCTTTTTCCATGTATATACTAACATTTACAATCGCTCGAGTCACAAAGGACATAGTGGAGTAACGATAGCGATCGCGATCCAAAGAATGAACGAGGCAGCCGTTTTCAAAAAGAAGTAATCGTATGCTCTCGAGAAATATCTTCCGCCGCGTTCAAAGCGAAAACCTTGGCAAAGTAACGAGAGCGCTCCTAGCGAAACGAAGTAACTCATTATAGTGTACGGGCTGCTATTTTTATTCGCACGAGCCCCTTCAATCCGATGAATTTTTTCAGACAAGCACATTCCGGACGATGCCTGCGATAAATGGAACATTTTAAAGAGAAAGAGCGATTAAAATTAATTTACCGCGCCCGGAAGTGAATATCAAATCCAGACTTTTGCGCTTTCGCTATAAATGTGGTACGATAGTATAAATAACGACGATTATAAAATAACATTTATTTAGAGTAGCGTAGTTTCTTTTTTTAATCGTGTACACGATAAAGGCACGAATGAACTAACCTTTTTATTCGATAGCTACGAAATATGGTGAAAATAACGTATAGCGGAACGTACAACGGTACATATTGATCGCGATGTATAATTTGATCGGAAAGCAATTTATTTTATCACCGCTAAATTCTTTCTCGCTCACAACTCTTGCACTACTCCACCAGATGATCAATATATTTTCTCGAGCTTTAGACCAGCAAATGACCAATGAATTTTTACACAAGAGTGTTACTCAGAAACCGTAATTTTATTGTACACATTTAGAATACGTTCCACTTGGACGCTTACACGCTGCGAGCGCTCACGCTTATAAATGCTTTTTCCAACCGTTCCATTTGCTTTCTAAGCGCTCACATGTAAGCCGAACCATTTGAAGTTTGTAAGCGATTGTGAGTAGTAGGATGGTGAACAAGAAGATATTAATGCCTATATTAATTCATGTCTTTATTAATTTTAAAAACGTTAACCCTATTAGAATTATTTAACGATTAAGTTGATAATAATATTTATGACTAGGGATTATGACTACGATTTTGCGATATTCTTTTCATGAATCACAATATGATACGCAATTGGACTTTTATCCCAAAATTGCGCCTGCAATTCAAAATCACTCGTTATTTTAATTAAGTATCTGTGCAAATATCGCGCGACAATCTGCGATATTTTATACTATCTAATTAAAACATATATATTTAGGAGCATAATAGGATTGTCATTATAACAACATTAAAATGCTAAATTGTATTATATCTTTTAATATATTTTATATATATATATTTATTTATTTATTTATATATATATATTTTTTAAATGATTATCAAATATTGCTACACTTAATATCGATTGACATTAATATTTTAATTAAAAAAACAACAAGAAAGGTAGTCATTATTTTATGAAAAAAATATTGTCATTGAATAATTAATAACATGTGCAATAACACATCTTTATATATTACATGTCTTAATAAGTTATTTTTAAAAACGTTTAAAAATTAATAATTCGGAAATAAAAGTTTTACAAAATGTCTCCTATGTTGTCCTGAGTAGAAAATATAATAAAATTAAATGATGTTTTTAAAATAACATCATTTAATTTCATTATGCTTTCATTTTTAACTATCATTTCACAGTAATTTATTTTCTTATAATAAACATTTCAAAGAATACTTTGATGCAATACGAAGACAGAATTGATTAATTTTTAGTTAAATGTTTAATATTTATT